CTTGGCCTCCAGAACTGTACTTCGCACAAGGACGCGATTTTTTTTTCACTCACTGAGATAACTGATATTCATCTCCTTGGAATGGTAAATTTAGTTTATTTATCGTTGTAAAAGTCTGTGCTATACTCATATATGGTAAACTCTGGAGCCATCTAGTGTGGCACAGATACGAAGAATGGTCAGCACCGAATAATAAAATTCCAGTGCGCAGTGGGAATACACGAACCGAGCTGTGCCTAGGGATGCATAGCGAATCTCCGTGTGCCTCAGCCACATTGTGTAACTGCTGCCCACGTGACCACACCATGATTAGTCAATCTAGTAATCTTGCGTGATGTTCCTTAGCACGAACAGGAACGCAGGAAATGTGGATTTACTGAGCCGTGCATTTCTTTGTCTAAGAGTAATCTTCGAAAGACCATGATGTGCCACCAAAGAATGGCGTTTCCCCCAATAGGGAGGTCACGTGATAGTATTATAGCATGTACAGCCTTGCAATAGGCGAATAAACAAACGGCCCTTTCGGAGCAGCGGCTCATCAGACACGTTTCCGGGGAAACGAACACGCACACAACAATATAGGAACGGCGTTTTCGACGTCCGCGCGAGGAGTTGTAAAGGATTTAGTTGAGGGTTGGCAGTTCCGTTGAGCTCTGCAAAGGAGGCTAAGAAGAGATAACGTTGTACTACAGGTGACAGTTGAGTTCTTTACGGGCGGCTGTGACAAAGAGGACCTGATCGCATGAAACTGAAGAATCTCCACTGTTAGAAGCTGTTGCCAGCGAACAGCTGGTGAAGACAGCAGGCTGGAAAGGGCTTAGCGGGTACCGAAGTGGTTTGTAATGTGATCAGCGGTAGCGTTGTAATTGTAGTTCCGAGTGGTGTGTGAAAATCGTTAATAAATTCAATATCCAATCCATACCCCGTCTATAATCACACCCAGATCGTGACGGTATTGAATAAACAGTCGCGGAGAACCCACGAGAGACGGTTGGTCAACTTGGAGGTGGGCTCGTGTTAGTAACACCCCACCGTAAAGCATTGTCACGGTCTGAAATGCCACACAAAGTCTCGGACATAGACATAGATTCTGGACAGACATACTTCATGTATAGGTAATGCGAATTTTAATTTGAGAAACCGAAGGGAAGAGAGACCTGCAGGTAGACTAGTGGATTGTAACCGATGTGTGAGGATATGGACTGGGTTCAGCTGGCCCAGGATAGGTTCTTGTGAGTACGGTAATGAATCGTAATGCCCCATAAAAGGCGGAGATTTTCTTTGACCGCCTGAGTTCTTCTGAAGAAGGAATGTTTTGATGGCGGACAGTGCGAGATTATTGTGAGGGGAATACCCGTTTGCCCGTCCGTTATCATACCGGGAGTTGTAAGGCGATTGTGCGGGTGTTTCCCCGTTTGTCTGTCCTGAGGTCGCAACTTCAGATAACTAGTAATGCGTAAGTCATTTTACATGGCACTTGACACACGTTAACAACAGATGACGCTCTGATCTGGTGTTCCCAAAATGGTATACCGTATTTACGCATGTATAGGCCGCACATTTTTTGCCAAAAATTCAAGAGGAAAACTGGGGTGCGGCTTATATTCGAAATATTCGAAATCACACTTCATTTAAAAAAAAATTAACGTTGCCAAATTTCGGAATAATTTCTACTCCTGAAATAATATTCCAAGAAAATTATTTTTTCTATAATTTCTGTCTGAAAATTGTGCTGCGGCCTATACACGCACGCGGCCTATACATGCGTAAATACGGTACTTCGGAACCCAGAGGTTCCGCGAAATGAAATTAAAGGTTCTGCTAGAAAATTCCATTGCAATATAAAAGTAATAATTTGACTATTATTATTAGAAACGTTTAAGAGCCTCATTAGACTGGAAATGCCGCCTTCAAAGGAAGAAACTAGTAAACTAAAGTGCGGTTTTTTTTTGCCTCAAAGGGAGAACCTTTGTCAGGATATGTAGTTCGTCATCTGGTTCCCTTAGCCGGCACATACATGGGCGAAACGGCATTCTCGAATTGCCGACCAACAGAACCAGAACACAGAAACAGACTAACCCCACATTTTGAGATTCCAACTTGCCAATGCAAAGTCAAACATAAAAAAGAATTTGTGAAAGGAAAAAGAAAGAAAAGCCCCTCTTCCCATTGCAAATTGCAATATGAGCCATGTCACAATGTTATGCTTAGTTTTTCCCTCGTACATTAAATGCGATTTTTGTTTTCGAACAAGTATAATTAAATGATACTTTGATCTAATTTCCGTGTTATAATGTTTATAATGATAACTTGTTTGTGGTTTAGTTTCTCAGCTTCATATATAGAAATTTTATTACGTGTTCCTTAAACATTGGGTCAGACAGATCTAGGAGTAGGGGCAGTCCACATTGTGAAAGCAGTTGTAGGAAAACATTATGTCACCGCTTTTCATTAAATTATTTTATCAACATAGTTGCTACGGAAATTATGAATTAATAAACAGACAATTTATTGATCAATACTTGTAGAGAAATGTAATACGCAATTCCGCCTGAGGTCACAAAAATGTGGTCACTATCCTATGTATACGTGTATACCGACTGAAATTATCTGCAAGTGTTTCAAAGGTTTACACTATAGCAAAGAATGCACTCCTGTACTTGAGCATGCTGGTCCATTGCTATATCCCAAACTGTTTGTACTACACGGTCCGTCAACACTGCAAGAAATTGTCCCTTCTTTCTTACACAACATGTTTCGGCCCTAAATGGCCACCTTCGGGTGTCTTACTATGCTATAACTGCTACACTGCACTAATATTGTCCATTCGTCGCATATGCGACTGCACGCTTCATGATTTAAAACGTCATAATCGTAGCCTAACGGGTACACGCTAAAATAGCACACGTTGTAGTTCACTTCATTTAAATCAAAATAAATTTATTAAAATTTGTTTTCCTTTAAATTTTGTAAAATTCTTACACCCCACCCCGTCGTCCACTTGTTTTGATTTGTATCCCTTAATTTAGATGTTCTATTGCGGCAGCCTGTGTTTCTATTCGTAAGCCCGTCGTGTTACGTCTGTAATCTATAATTTTGCTCATAGCTTGTGCGTTGTTCCCTCTTGCAGCATAATCACTTGTGATTATGACGTTTTGAACCATGAAGCGTGCAGTCGCAAAGGCAATAGAAATTCCCTTATGAAGTTACATGCCTGACTCAGTTCATCATCAAGTTTAAAACCCCACAAAAAGGGAAAGCTGTCCCGGGGCTTAATTAATTAAGCACCATGACGACAAGGGGGAGTGGAGGTATAGCTCCACCATTCTTAGCCCCCGCACTGGATGGAGGTGAATGGTCAGCTTCATGCATCTGCTCTCCTACTCCTGGGGAACCAGCCCCCGGTACTCGTTGGATATGAGGCTGGGTGGGCCCCAGTACCGGTCTGGACACTGGAGAAAAGTCTCTTCCTCTATCGGGAATCGAACTCGTCCATCCCATAGCCTAGTCGCTATACCGACTGAGCTGTCCAGTTCAGTTGCTGATGCAGTTATCTCCGTCCACCTTTACTTTCCCTCTTGGTTCCAAATATTCTTAGCACCCAGTTGTCGGATGCTCTTAAGCTCTGCTGTTCGCTGAAGAGAGGACCAAGTTTCATATTCATGTGAAATATATTGCCACGTGTTTGCGTGACTGTAGACGGGATATGGGTTGTAGATTGGATTTGTTGACAACTTTTAACACACGACTCGTGACTACACTTAATTATAGCATCATCGCTGATTTTCACACTTTACAAATCACTACAGCACACGCCAAGTCTTTCCAGTCTGCTGTCTTTACCTGTCGTTCCCTGGTAACGGCTTCTAACAGTGGAGATTCTTCAGTTTCCGAACTCGCCTCATTTTCCGCTGACTCTCAACTGTACCGACTCCCTCACAACTCTGAACTCTTGCTCCAGTTGTCCTCCTTATAACACCTCGGTACGGACTGCGTAGAAAACACCGTTCATTGGTGTACTCCAGTCGTTTCCATTGGAACATGTTTGTTTGCGAAGACTTTACTCAGTAGCGGCTGCGTATACGTGCTTATTAATAATCCGTTGCCTAGCAGCGGATATTGTTTTGTTGTTTGGAAGTCTACCCAGTAACGGGTCTACACGCTACAATATACTGGGATAGCTGAGTCGGTATAGCGACTAGGTAAGGGACCGGTTGACCGGGGTTCGATTCTCGGCAGTGGTAAGAAGATTTTCTCTTCTCCATAGAGTCCAGACCGACTAGCCTCATGTCGAATGAGTACTGGTGATAAGGTGGCGGAGACGTCAAGCTGAGCACTCACCTCCATCTATTGCAAATGTAAAGAATGGTGGAGCTGTACCTCCACTCCCCCGTATGCCATCATGTCAGTGTTTGAATATGTAACTAAGTACAGGGATAACTTTACTTTTCACCACCCAAATTTGAAACAATTGCTAGAGGTAAATTTGGTCAGTTCTGTCACATTGAGGAGCCGGGATAGTATAGTCGGTATAGCGACTGGCTACGGGCTGGACGACCAAGGGGTCGGAGTTCGAGTCCCGATAGGATCAAGAATTTTCTCTCCTCCACGTTGCCCAGACCGCTCTGGGGCCCATCGATCCTCCGATCCAATGGGTACCATGGACACTTTCCTCGGGGGTAAAGCGACTGTGACGTGAAGCGGACCATTCACCTCCGACAAGTACCAAGGTCAAGAAAATGCGGATCTATACATCCACTCCCCCATATGCCTTCATTACATAGTGCTTAAGCAGTTAAGCACAGGGACGGACACATTTACCTGGTACATTGAGTGACTCATGAGTGACATATTCCGTAGTTCTGGAAGCACATCAGGTCATTTGCTTAGCAGAAGAGCACTGTGTTCATTGCATAATTACCATTGCATTAGTCTTTATAATATCTGTTCATTTACCCATACTGGTCTGTCATAACAGCAAGATCTATTCTTTGTTTCAGATTACTCATGTGCTCTTGTGGGAGATATTTTGCTCCAGGGACACCTGTACATTACCAAGAACTACTTTGCATTCTATTCAAATGTATTTGGGTATGTTACCAAGGTGAGATACAATTCCAGTATCTGTTGATCACAAAGGGCAGAGCGCAAACAGATGAGGCAGTTAAATTTAGAATTATAATTTTGAAGAATTTACCTTTGTTTTTGGCACACCGTTCAGGCCGATGTTACAGTATGACATAGAAAATGACATGAATGAAAACTGCAAAAAATTACGTATAACAAGGACTAAAATCAAGAATGCATGTGCATAGCTTTCTGTCTTATACATTCACTTATAATTGAGGAATGGACGAACTTAACCATATTACTAGGTGCCAACTTAGGAAGCTCACATGCCCACTGTACTAGACTGACCAGGTTCAGAACAAATAGACTGTTTTGCACGAAATTTGGTATGAATATTATGCCAGCCTCGTAATTTTTAATCGACAACAGACAGTGACAACAAAATGGCTGATGTTCAGAATCATGACTTGGGAGCACAAATGAATTTAATTTGTGGTCAACAAGAAACAGTAGTACAAACTTAATATTTAAGAGAACCAGTAGTATGATTTTCAGGCCATTTGGTGTGAATGTTATACCAGCTTTGTAATTTTTAATCAACAACAGACAGTGACAACAAAATGGCTGACATTCAGAATCATGACTTTGGAGCACTAATGAATTTAATTTGGTCAACAAGAGACAGTAGTACAAACTTAATATTTAAGAGAACCAGTAGTCTGATTTTCAGGCCATTTGGTGTGAATGTTATACCAGCTTTGTAACTTTTAATCAACAACAAACAGTGATGCAACCTTACTACATAAGTTTGTTATTTAAGGTGTTATTGTCAGTACTGAGCCTGTATAGCATCGAGGTGTAATTAATGGATATGGAGCAGTTGCTGAAATGAGAATTAGCAGGGGAAGCCAATTCACTAGGAGAAAACCTGCCCCAGCCCTACTTTGTCCACCCAAATCCCACATGACTTAACCTGCGTTTGAACCTGAGCTGCAGTGGGTGGGAAGTCAGTGACTAACTGCCTGAGCTTTGGCAGGCTGCAGTTTAGAAAGGCACATAATTATAAGTAACATTCCCAGAAATTACTCAGAGAGTTGAAACCATACCATTTTCTTCAGGATATTAAATTGTTCTGGTCACTGATGGAGTCTTTGAAAGTACTGTCACATGTTTCATGACTAGACACAGGGTTTCAGTTGGTAATTGGATTTATTGAACTGTTGTAAGTAGGAAGGTTTATAATGCAATCGTTAATCTACACACTTAACAAATCAGTGTTGCATATGATAGGTCTCAGTCTGTTATGTCTTTGCTAGATGTTGCTTTATAACGGCTCACAACAATGTAGATTCCCTTCCTCTGTTGTTTATGTCGTGGCCGCCTCTTCTCAGCTCTCTCAACTGCAACTCATGGTGTCAGTAGCCATCATTAGCCATCACTCACGAACTTTTCCCAACAGCCCTTGCAATAGAGCCTTGGAAGAGAAGACACGGCTTCCAACACTTTCTCTATTGTTGCCCTCATATCCATTGCAGCGATACTTGTTTATTGAGCCATTCCATATCAGCAGGAGAGGTTTGAGTCATATGTCACAGTATTATACCTAAACTGAGAGAGCCAAATAATATGTGAGAGGTAAAAGGTGAATACTTCAGTGTACACTTAATGATTGCTGTAAGTCAACTAGTATCCCTCTCAAAGGCATTGGTTCTATTCCAGAAAATTACCTTGTTGTAACCTTGATTACTGATGCAGTGTGCATGAGGCAGAGTTGTGGGCTGTGATGGATCTTTGCTTAGTCTTATAGAGGTAACAGACATTTGCTTCCAAGACCCTTGTGTGAAGGTAGTTCAGATACTTCCACCGTAGCCCCGGAAGTTGTTGGAGGTGACAAAATGTGAACCCAGTGACTGAGGGTATAACTGAGCCACCCTGTCACGCGGGGACATAAATACAGGGACCTGGTCCTTCAGGCTGGGAGAGTCTTGAATCTGAGACAGTAAAATATGGTCATGAGTCCCACTGGACTTGGACCAGAGAATAATATGCGTTGGTGAGGACCAGGAGCAATTGTAAACAATAGATCTATCTGCTTGTCAGAAAGGGCGCCTGACATCAACAAACCCACAGCTGTGTGACAGTAACAAAAATCTAGGCTTGGTCCCAAGATGGGGCTTGAGACCATGACAAAGTGACTGACTGACTGACTGACTGACTGACTGTCTGTCAGTTGTAACATAACTGTGGCTCTCACTTTTGTTTCTAACAGTGAGGTTGTGTTCGGTGACAAACATTCAGCAGTGTGTAAAAAATTGCACCTGGCATTGGTCATAATGCAAGCCACAAAACTATATTGGTATCCTTTTCATCCTAGTTTTTCACCGGAACATACCTGATATTTCAGCTCATATTTGACTATAATCCTTTAATCTTAACCGCTTCAGTGCATTCATGGACTGTTATGTTTCGTGCCTTCTTAGAATAAGTGAGGCATAAAATCATTTGCAATAATTTTGTTCCAAAATAAGTTACGGTGAAACTTCAGTGTCATATATCTAAACAGATACCATATAAATAAGTAATTCCTGTTTTTCGTATCTACAGAAAGATGACTTGTTAATACAGCAGCTTGTGCTTGGAGCTTAAGAAGATCTGTTCTTGATTTTATGAATTGAAACTGTTTAATATTACTGTAATTATTATAAATACAAAGTGATTTCGGTATGCTGCGTACAAAATTTTATAGATTCTGAGGCATGCTGAAAGTGGCGAGGTGACAAAGTCTGTGACATCTGTACTCATGGTGGACCCATGGCCTTGCTATAGTAACTCATCCTGCAAACAGCAGACAATCTAATGCAATTTTGGTTCTTGGTACTTGCACAGCTATACTTGTTAACCCTTTTTTGCTGCGCAGTTTTTGTTAGGCCAGAATGCCCCCACTTCATAAATAACTGTGAGGAAAAAATTGCAATTTAAATTTATTGCTTTTGTAAAGCATTATATTCACCATCAGGTTCTGAATCGGCAAGAAAAGTTTACTCATGTTATCTTCTGCAATCTGTTTGCATCTGAAAGAAGCCATGTTTGTTTACACACTTTACTACTTGACGCCACTTAAAAGGAGCAACGTGAAGTAAGACAGTTATATTCTGCTACATCTCAAGGGAAAATTTGCTCTTAATCATGGCAATAATTTCTTCATACTGTCGAACAGATGTCACACCCTTCCTGGAGATAGATCTCAGATTAAATTCTGCTAAGTTTGAACTTGCAATAATGCAAGTTATTCAGAAAATGATTGCTAGTGTACCTTGCATTTTTGTGAGCTCTGCAACAAAATAAATTAATTTGTGAAAATGTTGGTTCTTTTGTTTATTTGTTGCAGTTACTTATCCCAACAGTTTCTGTAATTAAGATAAGTAAGGAGAAGACAGCACGCATTATTCCAAATGCTATTGGTGTGGCGACAGAGGATGACAAGCACGTGTTCTGCTCACTACTGTCACGTGACTCCACATACACCCTCATGGTGCAAGTGTGGAAGACAGCAACAATTCCAGGACCACAGAATATGCTGTCAAGCAGCAAGGTATGCTAAGAGATGTGCAATATATCAGAACTGAAATTACTCATAATGTTGTACTGCAACATCCTGTTGCACATTCCTCGTCACTTCTTATTCACTGTCTCACATGCAAACTTATGATAAAATCTTAAATTCGCTTTGAGTTTTACATTTTTTTTTCACATCACCGATGCATTACGTGTTTCGACTGATATGGTCATCATCAGGTGCGAGAACCAAACACAGAATAGCATCTGCCCTATATAATAAGATTCAGCTCCATAAACACTCATAACCTTGCATGGAGGTGGTTTCACATACCTCCACCATGGCCCTGTGAGTCGTAGGAGGCAACAACACAGGAATCCGGTGCCAGGGAATCCAGAATCTGAGACAGTAAATTGTGGTTATGAGTCCTGCTTGACTTGGACCAAAGAATGACTGTGCTTGTGAGGGCCAGGAGCAGTTTTAAATGACAGACCCATCCTCCTGTCAGAGCTGGCGCCCCACATCAACGAACCTGCAACTGTCTGACCAATAAAATTCTGGTCTTGGACCCCAGATAGGGACTTGTCACCAAGACAGACTAGCCAACTGACCGTCGGTTGTAACATATTTGACTTTAACTCAAACATTCAAAGCAGCTGCACATGACAATAAGAGTAATCACCCAGCACTACAAGTACACATCCAAACAAATTATAGAAGACACCAATGTACTCCATACATGAAATACTAACAGTTACTACTACATGTTTCAGACGTACAAAATATGGGCACATAAAGAAGGGTATACATTGGAATTGTAGTCACTGATGAAAGTGCAGCAGCAGTTTTCAACAGCAGTTCTTGAAGAACGTGATGTTGACCATATTGATCAAAACGTGATATGAAAAGAAATTAAAATTCAACGTGAATTTTAAGATATTACACAAGTTTGCATGTGAGACAGTGAACAAGAAGTGAAAAGTAGTCTTTGATGTTGAATGAGTATTTATATGAGCATACTTGAGTGTCACAAACAGAACTTTCCTCTTCAGGCACGAAATAAGCTTACAACATCAATTTAAATTGCTTATACAACTTTACACTATACAGATTTAATGGCTCTGGTGGGAAGATAATTTTGAAAGCATATGGTGACTCGGCTTTAAATAGTGAAACATGTTGTGCCACAGTATAAAAGCGGTGTATATAAAATAACGTAAATACTAGAGCTCTGAATGAATGAGATGAAAAGTGGCAGTTTGGCTTTTCCATTTGGTGTATCCTGTAATTTAACAGATACATGTCTTCCACTTTGAAAGACATATTCTTCTGTTGAAATCCAAACCAGAATATGTAGATGGTTGGTAAAATATTTCTATGCCAATTTCATGATTCAGTCCTTACATTTTCAGCACAGTGATACAGAGCTAATAAATTAAAATAACAAACTTGTGCAGTTAAATATATACTACTGACTAAGTCCATAGAGCTCATTCCTTCTTGAGAAGTTGCCAGTTACTCAGTTACTCAAGAATTCCTCAACATTTTATGGAACCTGATGGTTCATTATCATCTTCAGAAGAGCTCTGCATTGGTTCCTTTCCACAGTCACATGAATCCAGTTCATAACATCCCATCCTGTTTCTCTGAGAACAATTTTTTATCATTCTCCCATCTATGTCTAGGTGTTCCAAGTGTTCTCTTTCCCTCTGGCTTTCCTACCAAAATCTTATATGAATTTCTCTTCTCCCCATACACACTACATGCCCTGCCTCTCTCATCCTCCTTGACTTGATAATCACAATTATATTGGGCGAAGAATACAAGTTACGAAGCTCCCCATTGTACGAATGCTTGAACACCATATAAAAGCATGACTAGTGCTGCTTTGACATATGAAAATATAATCATTTCTGCTCAGAATTTTGGTACTTTCAGCACTAAAGGAAATGTTGTGTGCAAAATATGTAGCTGGGTGAGTTCTATCTTAGATCTATTGTAAAAATAGTGTTTTATTTCATCATGGTATTGTCACATGTATGAATGACTATAGATGGTGTTTGGGTTGGTAAATGAATTTATTGACCACTTGCAGATCAGAACTACAAGTAATTATAGCACTGTTGGTAATTCACACACTCTTCAGATCACTACAGCACACACTAAATCTTCTCAGTGTGCTGTGTCTTCACCAGTCATTGCCTGGTAGCGGCTTCCAGCAGTGGACGTTCCCCTTACTCTGGGTTCCTGAACTATCCCCGAGCCTTGGCTACCAGCTTCTAACAGCAACAGGTCACGAGGACTGAACTGCAGCAGTCCTCTCACTCACTCACTCACTCACTCACTCACTTACTCACTCACTCACCCACCCACCCACTCGCACATCCACCCACCCACTCGCACACACACCCACCCACTCGCACACACACCCACCCACTCGCACACACACACACACACCCAGTCACACACCCACCCACTCGCACACCCACTCACCAACCAACTGTTCACTTTTCTGCATTACACTGCACTAACTAAACTTCACCAACTGTCCTGCTTATAATATCTCGGCAGGGACTGTACAGAACACACTGTTCTGTTGCTGTATCCATTGTTGCATGTGCAATCATTGGCGCGGACCGCTCAGAAATCACCATTCCTCTGTTGCTGTTTACAGGCTGTTGTTTAGTAACAGCCGCAGTCTATTTGTTTGTTTCACGGTTGTTGCCTGGTAATGGGTGTACATGCTACAGTATGAATGGAGATTTTCACCTGTGTAAAAGCAAGGTTTAAGGGCCAAGATCTTTAAAAATGGAAAGAAAATTTTAAATAACGATTGATTTACATGTTTAAGTTGTAATATATAACTTCTATTGTTGACTTTTTGTTTTCTCAGATTTGCATGAAAGTATAATCTTTGAGGCAGTTTTAAACATGTTATTGTATTATGCACGCAGTAGTGTATTTGGCTGAGGCACTATGCCACAAGCTGGAAGGTCGTGGGTTCGATTCCCGATGAGGTCATTGTATTTTTCATTTGACTTAATCCTTCCAGTCACACTATGATCCTGGGGTAAAGGACGGCTGGCACATAAGGCTGAGAACCTCACCGCCATCTCTGATCTGAATGTCTAAAAAATGTGGGAGCCTCGACTTGGCACAACCCCATGGACCTCCCGGCCTGTTACAGGGTTAGCTTTACTTTTACCTTGTATTGTATTATGCAAGGTCTGCAGTGCTTAACTCTTGAGTACAAGTGCTTCTTTATGTTCACATCACATGAAAATGTAACACTTGTGAACAAAAACATTGTCATTTTCAGCTTAGATAGGAAGCTACAGAGCAAAAAGCATATATCAGCTGATGAATACCATTTTCTTGTTACTTATAGTAGTGCCCAAAAAGACTACCGGAGGCACTTGCTTTAGTGTTTTTTTGGAAAATCTAATATGATTTTCGAGATAAATAGTGCCAAAAAGTAAATTATGAAATTTCTGATCTCAAAATGTATGTACAGTATTACTTCAAATTCATTATTCCATTTAGGTCTGTGCAATATACAGTAGGTCACAATCAGAGAAACATATCTGCCCACGGTTATTTTCAGGCTCGTTACAAGGTACAGCACTTAACCAAGTCAAAGTCAAAGTTATGTTATGACTGATGGTCAGTTGACCAGTCTGTCTTGGTGTGAAGCCCCCATCTGGTGCCCAAGACCAGATTATTATTATGTCAGACAGTTGTGGGTTTGTTGATGTGGGGTGCCCCCTCTGACAAGAGGACAGGTCTGTCGTTTACAATTGCTGCTTGCTCTTGCCAGTGCAGTCATTCTCCGGTCTGAGTCCGCAGAACTCATGACCATGTTTTAAGGTTTCAGATTCAAGACTCCCCCAGTCTCGAGGGCCAGGTCTCCGTATTTATATCCCCCAGGAAAAGGGTGGCCCAATTCTTAACCCTATTTCTTCTTAATAATATATCAGATTCAGCTCATACCTCACAGAAACACATTACACCTCTGTTACAGGGAAACAGTTGCTGTTTATTGTGAGAATCGTATGGAACACACAGATATGCACTGTGGACAGAATGCAGATTTGTAATATCATAAAGCAGGTGGTACATACAATAACCGCAGAGCTTTAGAGGGTTGAACTGGTCGTTTCATATACTTCCAGACCTTGCTATTCTTCTGTTTCTTCTGGGAGTGTATGTGTGTACATCATTTCAGGAATCATATCTTTTTGCATTCTGTCCACAAGTTAACCCAAATTTCATGGATAATATTCTACATCAGCTGTGTTCATAGTTTCCAGACTGTTTTATATTTCTTCATTATGTAATGAAGTTACTTCCAGGAGTGATGTAAGAAATCTCTTCTGTGTGCATCTATTTATTTCTTTTGCATTCTTTCTCATAACCCATGGTTTACAGCCAATACAGTGTTAGTAAAATATATCTTCATATTTTCAATTTCATTATACAGTCAACTAAGTAACTGGGATAGTGTAGTCCGTATAGTGACTACCTATGGGCTGGATGGCCGAGGGGGTGGAGTTCGAGCCCCGGTAGGGTCAAGAATTTTCTCCACATCGTCCAGGCCATCTCTGTGGTCCACCAAACCTCCTATCCAGTGGTTACCTTTCTTTCCTCAGGAGTAAAGCAGTCGGGGCATGAAGCTGACCACACCTTCAGCTAGTGCCGAGTCCCCCATACACCTTCATGGCATAGTGCTCAATTAGTTAAGCACAGGGACAACTTTACCTTTATTTTTTTATACAGTGAACTACTTCAATATTGATTATTTTTTCAGAGCCATTTAAATCGTGCATATGTTCATGTGTTATAATAATACAGGGACTGAACTAATATGATTTCATCAGATTATGAGTTCACATAAGGTAAGTATACGTACTGCTCAAATAACTGATGGACTCAGTTATATAAACAGACAGAGATTTGAAGATTGCTGTCTCATGGGATGTGATGCCATGTAGTCTGGTAGATATTTATTTCTGTATCAGAATAACGTGCTGCCTCTTATCTTCAGGAGGTAACGTTCCCACAAAACACATCACATTCCAGAAAACAGTAGTCTTCATAGTCACCACTGTGGGAATGTCAGTCACAGACAAAGGTTTGTAGTACTCATATTCTGTTGAATCCTGTTGTGCAAACCAGTGTAGATTAATATTTGTTATATTTCTATCAGCACAACACTATTTCCAGCATGTGAGGTTTGCTTTCAAGGACAACATGTTTCAGCACATGTATGCCATCTAGAGGTTAGGAATTTAGTTATAATTATTCTATCATGTACTTAGCGTAAATTTTCCATGTAAATCGAGTTAATCTACATGTATCTACATGTTATACACTGTACAGATGTTAACTCCAATACATAAGCTGCTTCCTAGACACACAGCTGCAGCACCATTTCATCTTCAGAAGACATAAAACAGGACTACCCAGTGAGAATATCTGTTAAACAAAGTAAATCAGTTAATTTCCCACCATGTGCAAACAATAGTGGCATCAAGAACTCAGGTGAAACTGTTCCACGAAGAACAGTAGTATATTATAGTAATAGTATACATAGTGTACACACACCAGTGGATTCACTTGATTTATATGAAGAATTCTTGCTAAGTACATGATAATATAATCAGAACTAAAGACTGCACATGAAGATGGCACGCATGTGCCGGAACATGTTCTAGACAGCAAACCCCACCGTTGCCCTCGCTGATCTGGAGTAATTGGGGAGATAGGTCATTTGGATTAGTGAAGCAAAAGTTAGGGAAAAAAACCAAACATAAATAAAAGGAAAATTCAGTGATATAAGTAATGCTGATAAAAATGGAAGTATATCACTGTAGACCCTTTATTTAAAAACTGTCATCAATAGAAGACTTAGAAGTTGTACTTGTTTTTTAATGTAATAATGCATGTTTGAAGAAACTGTCAAGTTTTGTCTGAAGAGACAAGTGATGTATCTGCCTTCCTAAATGCCATGTATGTACTCAAGTGTGAACAGCATTTCTCATATTTTGATCTGGTATATCTGACAACCAGAATAGTGAAGGTTTACCCTCTTGTGTTGATGGGATTATAATAAATATTATCTAAAGGCTCATATGTCTACTATAGCATATTTGTCATCATCATTTTCAGGAGCTGAAAGATGAAGTGGATTCTGCCAGTGGAGACATACACCCTAACGAAGATGACTCGTCTTCTGGTTCCGGAAGTGAGCATTCCTGTCCACCCACACCTGTAGACAGTCCCACAGATGTCAGCCATTCCGAAAGTAAGATTTTCCTACAGCAAGTGCTAGGTTGTATTATTTTGTCAGTGTTTCACCACCTTTTTTGTGGTGTGTTCCCTTTCTGCAAGATCATAAATGGAACACAGTCAGTCACAGTATGTTTCATGACATCCTTGTGGGTCCCAGCCACTGCTTGAAGTTATTCTCTACAGCATAAGATCTCAAAAGTGACACTGATATTGTTCATATTGCCAGTGCTTGAATGCTCTGACTGTGTAATGTTACTCATACAGCTTCACTTTTAACCTGAAGATGGAGACAGCAGGTTCCTCTTAAGTATCAGTAATGTCCTTGCAACCCATACAGTGTCATAACCTGGAAGGGCATAATTACAGTTTTCATCTCTGTGGAAACCTTGAATCTCATATGGGTTGGAAGATATGAAGCTTTATGTCTTATGGTCAGAGACAGTGTCCAGTTACTCTGCAGATCCTTATGGCGATTCTCTTAAAGATTTGTGAATCAGGTGATTCATTATACATGAATATTATGCTGCACATTGCCCATTGGCTGAGGTACATTTGATATTTCTGATATTTTGTGTGTTGGTTGTACTCCCATCTTTGGCTTGCTGTTGATGTCATTGTTATTTTCATCAGTACATCAGTGCTACTGTAGTGGTAGTAGAGGAAGAAGGAGATGATGATGATTATGATGACAATGAGGATGATGACGACGATGATGACTGATGTTTGTTGGGATAAAGTCTGGTACCTTTTGAGTGTGCAATAGTCTAGTACTCTAGTATACTGACACTGGAAGCCAATAATCTTTTTAAATAAAAATTAAAAAATAAATAAATTGAAATCTATCCGTATAGTGGCACCCTTACTCACCTGTTGACGGTTAAGAGCCTGCTATCAAGACATCTCATACATATGTACCCCACATAATAGACAATGCCCTACATGATATTGTTTATTGCTCTGGTGTTACTATCACCAGTTTGCAATGTGCAAACTTGTCCTGCATGGTGTTTTTATAATGACCTGTTGTATAAAACTTAATCTATTTTTGTTTTCATTAATGCAAAAGAATACTTCTTTTAACATTCTCTATAAGGATTAAAGTTTAAATTGACTTACCAAATGCTCAGAGCTGAAGATAAAACAAAGTAATGGACAACGCTCGCAACCAAAAAAGGACACATCACAAGACACAATACACACAAAATATAGGATGAATGACTCCCATAGTGGAAGAATGACGTAGTATGTGAGTTTGAGTTATGATGTGTAAGATGATCGATATTAACAAATTTTGATATATACAAATTTTATTATAGTTAGTGAAGAATGTGAATTTTAGATAATTTTATAAACGACACATGATGGCGAGCAATGTAATAGCTTGATGTAAATAACACACCTGAAGATGGCACAATGATGCCGAAATATGTAGTGAAGTGACATGTGAAATTGAGTGCACTACAAGACGGCCAATATACATGTCATGGACGAACATACAGTACATTCATGTATTTTATTGCTGTTAATATTTTGGGCTTGTAAAACATGTTCTGTATACTTCTAACATGGATCCAGATATAAGATTTGGTACAGAACTTAAACCATCTACCTTTCTGGCAGTAGAGATTCAAGATCCTACCACTGAAACATTTCTCACTTTCAGGACCTATTTCCCTAAGACCTATCATAATATTATTCATACAGCTTCTTGCCCTTCCAAGCAGCTATGTTGAAAGATATTTCTTCCACAAAAGTTTCACATTTCATGCCTTCCTATCCATGCTGCATATCACGCTCATTAAACTGTCATTGATTTCATTACTTTAATAAATGGTGTGTGACCCATGCATATCACAGAGTTTCTCTTTGCACCGTGTCCTGAATTGCCTATTTGTTTCATTCCTCTAATGACCAGATGTTTTCCTGAGCACCTTTTTTCAGACACTACTGCTTTATGGTCTTATCTCTAATGAAAAAAAATACAGGGTAATTAAAAAGCAGTTGAGCCTTTTTAAACTGTATAACTTACCTATTTTACTATGTTCAATGCCAGTGCTTGAGGTTTTTACAAGACTGTTATTGAATCTCCATGTGATTATTACCAGCGATACAACATATTTCTACTCACACGTGCTTCAATATCATGGACATGTCATTAGAAACACCCTCTTTGATCTTGATACAGAAGTCCAGTACATTTTTTTTTCATGTGGCTTGATAAACAAATATATCCTTAATAATTCAGATTTAATGATTTTATAACAGTTAAAACGAAGATGAGATTGTTCTGAGTTATGACACTGTGTAGGAGGTTACCAACACTCTGGAGGAAACCATTGCTTCATACTGTTGTTAAGACAGCAGAATGCTGATTGTTTGAATTGCCAATTAACCGAATCAGGGAAACCAAGGGATTTGTCTGCTAAACATCATTGTTGCACTTCTTCAAATAAAGTGGTTGAAACTCTCAATTTGTAATTATATTGTAACATGTTGACCATGTGGGCGTGGGTTCGAATCCCACAATTGTAGTCGCTAGTGTAAAATTGAGCGATCAATAAACATATTCATTTTGACCCAAAGACCTATGCTATATGTATTTGTGTTGCGTCACATGGCTGAAGTGTTACACTGGTGTTAGAAGTGGCATGGCTCTGATTCAAAAAAAGAAGTATTGGACCACATTGAATATAACACAACTACACAAGAAAAAGTAGTCACAACAAGTGTTGGAATCCCTGCTCACCAGGATGGAGTCCATGCAAGAAAAAATGGACGCCAACCAAGCAAAGACAAATACTGAAATGATAAAGGCCATCTGAGAGGAAATGAGAGCTGGCCAACAAAAAACAAACGTTGGCCAAGTAAAACTGCGAGAGGACATGAGAGCCAACCAGGCAAAGATGATGGCCTGGCTGGACAGGAAACCTGAGGTGGCATAACGAGAGGTCCCTGTAGAAGACGCTGCAGTGATGCCAGTCAGAGAACCAAAGAAGAAACAGCATAGGTACCGAAAACTGGCTGTGAAGCGCTGCCACTAGATGAAGGAATGGACCCAGGATCATGATGGGTACTGAAAGGACTGGCCCTCGCCTGCAGAGGGACAAGCCACTGTGCCAAAGTCACACAGCAGACATGTTCCAATATTTATTAATTTTTCATGTTTCATCTGTTTTAAAAGTTTTCTTTTTTAATTTTTGTTGTTATATTATGGAGCCAGGCTAGCGTAGTCATTATAGCGACTACCTATGGCCTGGATGACGTGGAGAAGAGAAATTTGTTGACCCTACTGGGACTCAAAATTCCGACTCCTTAGTTGTCCAGCCCGTAGCCAGTCACTATACCTACTACACTACCATGGCTCCTATCTGTTGCTACAGTACATTATAATAGTGTTACAGTGCTTTTGTGGATAAGAATTTAGTCCAATTATCCAACTTTTTGATTATCCAAACACCTTTGTCACTAATTAATTAAGATAATCGGTGTTCTACTGTTCATTCCACGATGTTGCCTGTGACTCGTAAAGATCTTGACTAGGGCGTTAAGTTCATTTGTCTGTAAGCAGATGCTTTCTTTAATTTCAGTTTTAACACTTTCATGGCTAACATTTGGTCTCGCATTTTTCTGGCGGGGTTAATAGAAGAACCAGTCATGGCTTGAGTAATAGACTACAAATCTATCAACACAATTAGAATCAAATCGTGTAAATACATCATTTATTTTTTCATTTCATTTTATTTTGTAACACACCAGATAAGAGTAATATATGGATCCGTATATAATTCACAATTCAGTAGTAATAAGACTTGCTCATTATATTGCCTGTGAGCCGAAACATGTGGTGACATTGTATTCTAGACCAATAAAACCCAATTGTACCCCATAAAGTATGAGTGACTTATTGGGTGAATTGTTGTGTTTGACAGGAATTGATGTGATAATTTATATAACGTTTATGCTTGTCATCTCAGAAAAGAGTACTCTTAATTGAGAATAATATTTGGTTACTTTTACTCTCCTACTGCCATCTCCAAAACATACTGATGTCTGTTTTGGGGCCCATGTAGTCTCCTGTGAGCTCCGTATGGGGAAGTAAAGTGTTCAGAGCTTAAAGCCGCCCACTCTTCTCCATATAATGCTGAAGTTATGAATGTGGTTGTGATACCTCCATTCGACAATAGGTCTTCACAGCATAGTGTTTACTTCAGCATAAGGACCACTATTCCCATATAATGCTGAAGTTATGAATGTGGTTGTGATACCTCCATACAACAATAGGTCTTCACAACATAGTATTTCCTACTATTCTATTACTCATTTTCAGTTTGTGTCAAATGTGACACGAAAAAGCTTTTCTGAGAGAAGCCAGTGACCGGAAAATATAGCAGTCAGTCTAATTAGATTGTTTGCCCACATTTGAGCCAACACATCTTCTGTATCTTCATGTTATCATCAATGATATATTGTTTATATTGTACTAACAGGTTGTACGTCGAGGTTACCAAATGGTAACGTTAAAGTGTCGGAGAAACCGAAGCGGTTTACAAGGGATAACGCCTTCACATCTTTATTTCCACAACCAACACTAATCCTAATCATAGCTACTGGTTTGCTGGTTCTGCTGTTCCTGTCTGCAGCATTCCTGCTGTACCGCATTGGACGAATACACCACCGGTTTCCTGAAAATCCTGTCATCACAGGCAGGTACGTAAGAGATTCCATGACACTGTCTGTTATGGAAGCACTCCTATTGGGACAGTACCATGTGTTTCATCACCTATCTTGATGAGAAAGACTGCGCCATAGCTCAAGTGGTTAGCTGCTGGCCCAGGTCTGGTCAAGTGGGATTTGTGGTGGAAAAAGTGGCGCTGGAGCGGGTTTTCTCTGAGTGCTTCGGTTTCCCTTGCCAGTCTTCATTCCACCAAATGCTCCATCATCATAATCACTCAGGGCAGGTTACAATAGGCCAATTAGTGGCTGCCGTGCTGAGTGGACCCAGTTGGACCCCCCCCCCACTAACCGAATCTTGATGAGAACAAGAAAATTCTTTTCAAGCTGGCAGTTAGTTGAAAGTTGTTTGGTGTTTTACATCTGAGCCATAAGCACAAGAAAAGAATTTTGTAGAGACTTATAGAAAATATGATAGCATTTCATTTCTCTTTAATAATAAATGTTATGAGTTTGTCTGTAACGTTGAATAATTCTGTTTTCATCCCTATTTCAGTCTACCCACTGTAAACAGATCTATGCCAAGTGCCCCATGACAGAAAGTCAGTTCTTCACCTAAGTTCAGGGGATGCTACTGCAAGTAAAAAAAAAAGAGTAATCATCTGTCTGCTGTCAATATTGGTGCAGTTATGGATATTTGAAGTCTTTAAGGGAAGTAAAGAGAGCAAGCAAGTTCACTGGTTGGTTGGTTGGTTGGTTGGTTGGTTGGTTGGTTGGTTGGTTGGTTGGTTGGTTGGTTTCTTAGTTGACTATTTAATGACCCTATCAGTATTCAGAATATGCAGCGCCAAACGACAGGATGATTAATGAATGTGGAGCAGTTGGTTGAATGAAAATTGGCAGTTGAAACCAAAATATTTGAAGAAACCCGCTCCACTACCACTTCATGTACCACAAATCCCACATATGACCTTAGATCGAACTCAAGCCAACACATTGGGAAACTGGCAACTAACTGCCTGAAAGTTTGCTGTTTTACACCTTTTACTGAAACAGAAAGTTGTTACACTAATTGCCTAAAGTGGGTACTGTCACCTCTCAGGCAACTTCATGCTATCTTCAGAAGAGACCAGTGGTTCTGTGAATTATGCATCATCATTTAGAACCTCCACTCTGACTGTTAGCTCAGAGTCTGTGTTAATTGTTTCATTTGAATCCTCAAAGGCCTCTGAATAAGAACATATGCGCCATTATTGCATCCCTTTTCAGCATAACCCTGAGAGCAAACAGACTTTGAGGAATGAACTGATTATTTTGAATGACGCAGTGACACATATATACAGGCTCAAGCGCTTGAGTATGCTGCTGGTAAAAGTTCAGTTCTCTGTACCCTCATTTCTGGAACATGGCTTTCAGATATCATGTAAGACACTGGTGACCGGACTGCTGTCCATCCTCTAAAGTATAACGTCATCTTCGTCATCTGTTTGCTGTATGGAAATTCGCTTCTTTTTTTTTTTAAATCTGTCTTTATGCATAAAACGTTTGCCAGTGAGACGTTGGCCAGTAGGAATTGTGCCTAATATTCTCAGACAGCTGCTACCACATTCCAGTTGGAGAATATATAGACAGAATTGATGTCTGCACATCCTGCAGTAGCATGTTAGTAGCATCAGCATCATGATTGCCTATGTGTTTGCACTAGTTCAGACTAAGCTAAGTATCTAATGCACTTTCAGTTAGGTGTCTGCTTATCAATGTTGCCTAACATGTTCCTCATCATTATGTTTCTGCTGTAACAACTTCACATTTGCATGCATTAAATTAAAACTTGAATTTGCATAGTGGGGGGTGGAGTCCATTTGGGTCCAATCAGCACGTCGGTCATTGATTGGCCTATTGTACCTGCCCCGGGTGATTATGATGATTGGGATCTTGGTGGAATGAAGATTGGCAGGGGAAATCGAACTACTTGGAGAAAACCTGCCCCAGCACCACTTTGTCCACCACAAATCCTGCTTGAGCAGACCCGGGCTCGAACCCAGGCCACCACAGTGGGAAGCTAGTGACTAACCGCTTGAGCTATGACATGACTGAAATTTGCATGCATAATTTATTCAGTATTGAGATCAAGCAGGTGATTACTCTTTTGTGGACTTCAAATTCTCATGGTGATGACTGTGAAGAATTGTGTGCTCTGGGTTGTTGTTTTGGGAGAGTCTGATGGCCTGGAGGAATCGCAGCAGAAATGCGACTGAATGTCACCCAGAGCTTGTGGAAGCTCTGGGTGATCGTGCTCTACCATACAGAGCTGTTGCAAGGTGGATAGAAGCATTCCAACATGAAGAGAAGCAAGTGCCGCCTTGCAATGTAGTGTCCTTTCGTACCGTTGTTTCTTGTGCCATGATCACCCAGTGCATGGAGAAAGATAGGCGCTGGTCTCTGAAGGAGTTAGAGAGACACACAGGGATTGACCAGGCAACCGTGCATCGAATTTTACGAAAAGACCTACAAATGCACAAGATTGCAGCGAAGTGGGTGCCACATGAATTAAATGAGGTTCAAAAGTGGACACGTTATGAAGCAAGTCATGTGAACTTTGAATGATATGAAATTGAAGGAGACAGTTTCTTGAATTGGATAATTTCCATTGATGAAACATGAAACATTAAATTTTTTATTTCTTAATCACAATTGAATTTTTTGAGGATTAAAGAATGAAAAAACAACAGTCATTCCGTAATGTGCAATTTTTCTTGCTTACTATACCTGTGCCCCTTCACATCTACCTGATCTGACTAAGCCAATCGGAGGGGTATATTTTGAACTTTCTTCACCGTAACGTGTTTGCCCCCCAAAATTATTTGCCATGACTTTTGAAGTAACCCACGTAAATGATTTCCTATCACCGATGAACTCTGCCCTCTTAACTGCCGATAACAATTCTCTTATGTATGAAAAAACCTGTACCTAATTCATGATTTTCATTCCCCTTTCCATAAAAAAAATATATATTCACCTGCTAGTGCGATGCCAGCTCTGTCCCATCTGACCACCTGTACTCCTACTAAATCTAACTTATATTTTGAGATTTCTTCCATCACTGCCCTGAGTGAACCTGCCCTATACATACTTCTGACGCTCCATGTACCAAATCTCATGTCCATTTTGTTTAGGCTCCATGTGTACACATAGTAGAAACTGCAGATACATAAAATCAGCTACCATAGTTGGCAGTGGATTGCTGTGCCTGACATCTGCATGTCATTCATGTTCACAAAATGGAAACAGAGGAATACTGCAGTGATTATTGATTTGGACTTCAATACTTGATTGCTGTCCATCAAAACATTTGTTAACTCTGCACACAGCTGGGTCAGCAGTTTGGGTTAAGCACTGATGAAGGAGTCAGTACTAGCAGCCCACAATACTCTGTACCTCATTCTGAATCTGTTTGATGTTTGGAAACCCAGGATAATAATATTTAAAGACAAATTAACCAAAATCACAGATTTCTATATCTTCCTAGTGATGAAGTGTACCAGGAGATCTTGAAATGGCAGACTCATCTTCACACGAAATCTGCAAATGAAGTCCAAGAGTTTCTGAATGCCAATTTGGACCAGTTAGCAAAGGTACGAAAAATCACGTAATTTACAGTATGGAATATTTCAAAATGCTGTATGTTTATGACTTTAAAAAGAAACATACTAAATATGGAACACTTATTTATTCGTGCACCAATACTTTAAAATATTTATATATACTCTTAACTCTGAGCTTCTCATGGCAGTGACGACAAAGAGATGTCACACATTGTAGTCTCATAGAAAGTTAGCATTGTGTCAGAGGTACACACTGTTTCCATCTTCAGTGTCAGAGTGTGAAAGGTAAAGTTAAAGTGGTCCATAATTTAGCACAATGCACTGAAGGCATGTGGGTTGTATAGATGCACATTTTCTTGACCTCAGCACTAAATGGAGGTGAGTGGTGCAATGTATCAATAAAATTCTAGCAATGTGCTCTGTCAACTGAGGACCGATGTACATGTGTAACACCTTACTAAGTTCACTGACTTCCTCATCTCAAGTTAAACAGCAGTAATCAATGTACATTGAGGAGCTGAGATTTGAATCCTAATATAAATTGCAAGAGTTTTACTAAGCGGCCTCTGTAGTCTAGAGGTAACGTTCCCACCTCATGACTCATAGTACAGGGGTTCAAATACCCGGCGGAGGTTGTCGAATTTTTAAGGGCGGAAAAATTCAGGGAACAAGTCCTCCGGGAGGGACTTTAAGCCGTGGGTCCCGTGTCGTAGCTTTATGGCACGTAAAAGAACCTCATATCTCCAAAGGAGGTCACTGAGCCAAATCAACGGACGTTTCCCGCCCAACAGCAGTCTCTAATACCTCTGGTAGATGGAGGAAGCATTATAGATACCTCTCAGAGAGTAGAGCCGGTCTTGCTGGCTGGGCGGGACTGATGGTAAGCACCAGTACCGGTAGGATATAGAGACTGGTAGAAATCATAGAGGGAAGCACAATGGACCAATACAGGTCTCAGTGCATGGGGAAACCCACCCTCTCCAATAACTAACTAACTAACTAACTGAAGAATTTTACTAATTTACTCAAAAATAAAAATACTTTGTACTGCATTAACCTGTCTAAAATGGATCTTCTTGAAAGCTGTGCTTGATTGTTTACCAGGAACAAAGTGTTTCAAACAGACCTGATCAAATACAAATGTTCATATATGCTAAACTAATTTAGGAGTCGTTTTCTCTGTGGGTTATTTAACAACATTTTTTCAGTATTAAGACTACATAGCTTTGGATGGTAAGATGGCAGATGGATTGAAACAGACTTGAAATGAAGCATTTTTGGTTTAATTTGGGTACTATCACAGAATTTGGCTGGAGGGACTGAGGGAAACCACAAAAAATCTATCAGTTGCAGCCCACATTTGAACTGAGTGACTGTCAAATACGGGTCTTGAGCATTAAGTCTAGAGCAACTCGTTTCATTTCTATAAGTAGTAACCAATTATACTGTGTTTAGCTGGGGCAAATAATTATGTGTTCCATGTATGTACCTCTAGTAACCTTGCTGACAACATCTGTCATGTCCTGTGTAGCACGGTCATATTCAGCAATGGTTTGTGAATGCTATATAAATATTTCTTGAATTGAGTATGTTCCTTGACATGGCCTCACAACAGGAAGTGTGATGTAAGATCAGAAGGTCTCGGGGGCCAAGAGATTTGAGCCTCCTCACCCACTCCATCCTTTAGGGTAGCAGGCTACATGGTCATCATATAGCAGTTGTATTTCTGGGAGAATTTCATTTTTAATATTTCTCATTTTACCATTAAACTTGTCCTGTTTATAGACGAGGTTTTCCACTGCAGGATGCCTCCTTGGGTATGAGGCATTGTTATACTTGTACAGCCAGCCATACTTAAGCTGGTGAGCATTCATTCTCAGTTCAGTGCCTTTAAAACGAGCTTCACATATGATAGTGTATTCTTTATTTTCTTGATGCACATTGTCACTAACATTCACTTTAAGATAAATGATATTTCTCTATACTGAACATTGATAGGAAATAAGTTGTCAGAAGAAAGGCTAATGGCAGGCTTGTTATGATTATGAGTGTTCTGAGTCCTTAACAATAAACTTAAGTGACAGATTTCTGAGGCAAGACCACTGTGCCAAGGATGTAGTTGCATTGTTATTTAATTGACTAATTAGTCAGGCTGTTAGTTAGCTGTGAGTATTACATAAGACATTGTCAATTGTCTGAGGTATGGAATTCTGCTCTCATCTTCAAGTGACTGTCATTATGGTGACAAGTATTATTTATTTTTTATTTTGGTCTTAGTGATGAAAGGATCAAAGCTGGGACCTTTTTAGTATGTGGCTGTTAACAATGACCACTAGACCACTGGGGTAGTTCATTGTTATTAAGTAACCCACAAATAAATGCATACATAAATTAAATGCAACTATATTTATGTTAAATTTATGGACAAAGAGCAGGACAGCTCAGTCAGCTTTGCAGTTTGGCTACAGGCTGGGTGACTGAAGAAGTCATGGTTGAATTCCCATAGGAGTAAGAGATTTGTATCTTCTTCATAACCTTCAGACCGGCTCTGAGGCCCACCCAGCCTTATATAACAGCAGGTGCCAGGGGTTCTTTCCCTGAAGGTTAAATCAGCAGGAGCATGAAGTTGACCACTCACCTCAATCTAGTTCTGTGGTTAAGGATGGTGGAGCTGTACCCCCACTTCCCCATATATTATCATGGCTTGGTGCTTAATTATTTAGGCACAGGAATGACTTTACTTTTTATGCATTCACTTCCTGTTTCATTGGAGAGGAAGCTGTGTGATCGTCATGTCATGTATATGTGAAATATGTCTCTCAGACAGTGGACAGTTTCAACATAATACTATTAGAAAGAATCGGTCACAGCTAAAAGGCTTTAAAGCTATCAGCTCTTAAATAGTTAAAGTTTCTGTGTTGGCTCAGAATATTAATTAATTAAGTTTCCAATTTTCTCTCCATAAGGTAAGGCAGTCCTTGGAGGCTTTGTCCCTTCTCATCGTGACAGATGACAGCAGTAATAAGTCGCCTGTAATACCAGAACAGTCATCTCAGCAATCTAATCCACATCATCACCAGCAAGCAACAGCACCTCTACCTCGAGAGAAGCACAGTTAGCAGTACGAAAACATCTCGAAACACTCAAGCAAAACTCAGCAGCAGTAATAACAACCCCTGTCCTGTAAGTCCTGGGAGAAAAGTCAGTCAGTCATGTGTTTAAAATTTATCAATATTATTGTTGTTGCTCATCTCCCCTGAAGTGAGACTTTAGCAACCAGTTGGACCATGCTCTGTTCTGGTGCTACATACAGTCCTCAGCAGGATTAATATTACACAGACAGATTCTGACTCTGTGTCAAACCATGGCTGATTGTAGGTACAATGCTGGTTCCTCTCTCAAGATAGTAGCTAGGAAGCAGTGGAGTTGTTAGAAGTACTACAACTTTAGCAATTGGCCTTTTGCTTATTGACATGAGGTTAAGATGTCACCTTGCCTGTAGTGTAGAGCAAGTGGCACACCGTCTCCTTTGCCGCAACAATGAATCCAACTGACAGACTGGAAGAACAAGAAAAAAGACATTTCAGAACAGAAACAGCAACACATTGCGGCCAAGTGCATTAATATGTCTCAGTGGAATCCATCCAATAGCCAGCAGTGTTCACCATGGCATGAAGATGTACATCTGTCGGTCTTAATGAGGATCAGCCCTTGGTTATTTGAGTTCGTTTTGATGCCCATGTATTCATGCCAGGATTCAGACCTGTGCTGTACAGGATCCAGTGAGAAGATAATGAAATGCAGGTCTGAATAAGTACAAAAACACTGAAATGTTTATCTATCTTTGATGTACTTGTAACTGAAGTATGGAAAGTTATACAGATGATTGTGTGCACCTGCATTTGTTTAGGACTTAGATGGAACTGATTGCTTTAGAAACTGCAGGAACTAGGAAAATCAGAATGAATTCTTAAATAAAAAATAAAATTATGATTGTCCCATCTAAACTCTAATATCCTTGTGTGCTCAGATATAGACCAGATAAAATTACCATTAAATGATGTCACATTACATAATCAAAATTGATCATCACAGTATTGTTAAGAAGTTTCTTCATGTAGAATGTACAGGGTACTTCAAAATAGATTCACCAGTTTTAATTGCATGTAATTATGCAACTACAGTGCAAACATCACTGTATTTGGTGTCTCCAAATTAAGCAGACTTTGAAGATTGACAGTCATGTAAACACACTGTTAGTGTCTGCACCATTGGCTTCCATGAGCATCTGTAGCTGAATTTCATGGTGAGTTGTCTGGTAAAATCTCTTCATTAAAACACATTCTGATCTGATGAGTATGCCATCTTGATTACTGCAGCTTCATGGCATTATTACCAGGTGCAGTGCATTCTCCCAGGACTGCTGAACTCAGATACACCAATTGCAATGAAGTTTGTTATGTAATTAGGTAATTACATGCAATTAAAACCAGAGCATCATTTTAGAGAGGTCGTGTATTTTCTACTCTGCACCTAATACAGATATAAAAAAGTGAACATACAAAATAATGTCTGTTAATAATGAAACTGAATAACAAAACGATTGTGTGTAATATCATTATACTCATATAAAAGAGTAGCAGTAATGAATTAAAAGTAAATTTTATCGTTCTCACATACATTTAATAGTAATTTCCATTCACTGTTGAGAGCATTACATTTTGTGACTTACACCCTTTGAATGAGAACAAAGAATAATTTTGCACCCTTCAATTGAAAACAAAGAATACACAATCTTCCACCACTGAAATTTGTCTCTGTGTTCAAGTCTTATCAAGTTGAATTGGATATCTTGGCTTTTGTCTTTAAATGGATGATACATTACAACAGCTTGTATTTGTGCATTAAGTGTTGTGATGGACTGAGTCAAGACACAGTATCTAACATTACGAATTTACTTTTAAGACTTAGTATATTTATTTCTGTATTGTTGGATTACAAGTCAGTTTAATTATTAGTCTGATGCGAACTGTTTTGCCTGGAATGATTAGTCTCTCAGAATTTGAAAGTGTAATATGTTTCTCTGTATCCAGACACATGCCATGAACCTCTTTGGTGCTCTGTTTTCTGAAACAAATTCATGCTGCAAGGGCAACTACTTGTAGCTCATGAATTATGTACATCAGCAGTGGTTATTGACTTCTGTAAGAGACTTTGTGCTGTTGCCAAATGGAATCTTTGTGCACAAGTATTTATTATTGTTTTGTACACATGGATTCAGAATTCTCGGCTCAATAATGTGTTATATCTTAGATTGAATGTGTGAGTGAAGAACACTAGCATTTGCCAAAAGAGTATAGACAGGTGCTGACTTTAGTACAAATACAATATGGGGGCAGACAGCATGGAATATGCAAACCTACACAAGCTAAAATGGTTTAAATGTATATTGACATATTTTCATCCTATGAGGTTAGTTTTATAAGTAATCAGGTTAATTGCAGAGTCTGTGTTTTGATGTGAACTGGATATCTCATATGTGTAATTTTAACAATCTTCAGCATGATACTGACTTGTTCTACCAGTCAGATCTGTGCCTTGCACCTTGTAGCATTTGTGTTTGTTAACACCAATAACTCAATTTCTGTTTTTGCACTGGAGTCTTAATACTATTACATATGTTCCAGAGTGACATCTAATACAAAAACATCATCTCTCTCCAGATTCTGTTACTTTTGTGTAGTGTTATGTCTGCTGGAAGAGACTAAGAAATCGGTAAGCACCAAAAAAGAAAAACTCCGTGGCCTGTAGTCTGCAAGCGAACTATACTGACTGAGCAACCGCTGCTTGTCGGCAAAGTTAGTGCAACTTTTGCAGGTAGTGGATGTTGCGTGGTCAGCACAAAGGATCCCTACCTCTGTTAATCTCGGTTTTCTAGACCAGAGCCCCCATTTCCTTCAATATTGATTAAACAGTAACTGTGTCAATATGAGATCTGTCAGTACCAAGACATGCAGCATGAACCCCAAGCCTTGCAGGGTTCCTAAAGGCTACACAGTAATCACTCCTATTTGTAACTGCAAGCACTTGATGGCCAACATAGCAAATATTTCTGTTTCACAACAACAGAAGTTTTAGTGAGTGATTGTTGATACATGTTTTTCCAGTTCACATATAAAATTTCTGAAAACACTGAAGTGAGGTGAGGGTTTCATGGTATGTTTAACACCAGATGCAAATGTATAGGTGTGGTCACTGGCTTTGTAATTGTGTATGATTAGATAACAGTTACAGTTTTATCAGTTTTATGCTCTTAAAAGTTTAAAAATGTACAGAAATTGAGTCTGCAATCATTTAGGTATATGTGGATATTACTACTGCAGCTAGTAACACATCTAGGTGAAATAAAAATTTCATGAAATTAAAATTTAGTTTTGAAACTTATGAGAGAAGGGAGAAAAGAAAATGCAAAAAGACTTGCGGTGTACTGAAAAGTACAATGAACAGTTTGAGTACACAATGAAGTGCAAAATACACAGATAAAGTATAACCACGCAACTTACTGAATATGTATCTGTGATAACAGCTGGAAGAGAGGATAAATAAAATTGTACAACCATGCTGACTATTCTTAAATGACTGCTGATTGTAAAATCAGATATGTGAAATTGGCAGCTGTGATGACAGTGTGATTGTGTCGAAAATCTCACCAGTATCATCATTCTTAATTCAATGTTATATGTGTAACAGTTGCAATTAACCTTTAACGTCTGAAGTGCCCCCATCGGGCCAGTGATGAGTATGGTTGCTGTGGCCAAAGTACCCCGTTTTGGCCAGTCGGGCATTTAAATTCCGCTAGTGGAAGCGTACGCACACGTCGCTAGTAGAAGTGCATTCACAGTCCCAAATATTTATTTTTAAATATAGTAATTATCAGACAGACTTGAGTAAAACCATAATAGAGTAATTAAAATGATACCTAAGTGAACAACAGCAAAAAGAATGTATGTATGAGTTATGCCCGGACTCATCCACGAGCCAGTACTTTTATTGCAGATTCTGCAGATTAATGTGTTAAAAATATATAGTAAAATTCCATGTACAAGTACATACCTTTTTTGTTGTTATCTGCTTGATGTGTATATATAGGCTGAAATGAAACTACAGTATTTGATTTCACTACGAATGCATAGGAAACAGATCGCCCTCTGTATCTCAGCCACGATGCAACTTTCTGTTCATGACCCTAGAAAGGGCAATAATCTCTTGCAGCTATAACGGAAGGTCTTAGCACTGAAGAAGGGGCCCCACTAGCTTTCTCTTGAATAGCCATTCTTTCATTCTTCTGTCCTTTGGTCAAAAGATTCGAAAATCCAAAGAGTGTAAGCAGTGCTAGCAGAAGACCAAATGATTTTATTGCTTCCATCTGTTTTATGACACCAGGGACTGCTAAAATTTGTCAAGTGTTACAAACAGAAATGAATTTATAATGCAGAACAACTCTGTGAAGAACTGGGAAAACATTTTTGCAGTACGCATCAAAATTAAAAGAAAATAAAAATTGAAAATACAGTATAACTCTTTGTATGAAAATTTTCAAATCTTCCGCTAATATGCGACACTATGTTCTTTGCTGATACAAACAAAGTTAATTCCATCCATTTATCATAAAAATTGAGTTAGATACAGCATTTTTAAACACAATGCTTAAAATTGTTTAAGCACCCTAACAGGAACAGATATTTAAACGTAGAGTAGCTGTGGGCATTTAAATATACTCCGGCCAGCTCAAGCTTACCACCATTTTAGAAGTCCGGCATTTAAAGGTTAATCACTGATTCTTCATGTTTAGTATTTTGAGCCTGCTGACTGCAGTTCTGTTATGGTTTCTCAGTGGCTGTGAACATGACCATGAATTGACTCCTTCCCATTGCTCTCCATTTCAACTACTGTGATGCCGTTCTCTCAGTCCAAGCAAGCAGTAGATGCAGTCACTCACAACTAGCATCAGCATGCATCTGATTGGTGTATATATGCTTCCTAGGCTAGTTCTCTAAGCAGATGATAACCCTTACAGCATCCCCATCAGTTAAGAGACCATAGTTGAAGCCTAGGTATGTAGATTTGCTATTTTTGGCTTCTACAAAGAAAAATATAGGCACTTCAAACTAAGAACAGGAAGCCTGTAATCAAATATTCTTACTCAAAACCAAATCCTGAAGTTGAATCTTTGATGTCAGTGGGATTAGCATAGAACTCTTGTTCTTTTATGAAGATTTTTATATGGAATATTTCAGACATTGGCCATGTAGTTCGTGCAAATCCTGTATTTGAAACACTTTCCCCATGCCTTCATAAGATATCTTGACTGAGCTATGTGAGGGCAGGTATTCTGTGTGACATATGTTGGAGATGTGCTCTGTTACCTAGTACCAGTCTTCACTTGCTTTGTATCAGGTGGTTTACATCTCCATTTTTTTACATTTAATAAGGAGTAAATTTAATACACTTAAAGGCAAACTTTATTTGTCAAAGGAAAAACTAGATCATGTGACTGTTTATTAGGCGTGAATGGTAGGAAATTGAAATTGTAATTGTGTGTTCTTGTTTCTGACCATTCATTACATGCTTCAGGTTTCTTGTAGAACCTGTGCTTTGAAGTTATGTAATGGTCTTGACTGATTGTATATTGTGACTCATTAGTGACTAGCATGGGAAGTGGATTGATGAGTGGATTTATTGAACACTTTAAACAGTAACTACAAGTAATTATAAGCACTGTCACTAATTCACACACTTTACTTCTCACTCCAGCACACATTAGGTCTTCTCATTCTGCTGTGTCTTCACCAGTCATTGCTTGGAAATGAATCCCACCAATTTTGTCTTCTTTTCACATTGCTGCCAGCCTTCTCATATATGACTCATGGCTGCAACTGCACATGACGGTGACTCACTAAGTTCAGTCGGTCAGTCACTAAATTGCTACTGGTCATCGCCAGCACAGTCATTCTTGGCTTAAGGCCTTGTCAAGACTTTTGACCAAGATCTTTTTTCTTGTAGACATGTACAGTTTGAGAAATGGATCCTCCTCTTCAGCGAGGGCTGGGGTTGGTATTTCTGTGGAGGCACTACATTTGTTGAATAGTAGTTGTAGCATGAGGATATCTGTGCCGTCACGGCGTCCAGGTCTATATGGGCATCATGCATCCTTTGTAACTGCACTGTTCTATGTAACACTAAGACAGTATGTATGGGGGGTTTTTGTCAATTCAGGCTTGTGCAGCAGATTATGCCTTATTTAATTTAACCACCCTGAAACTGAGCTAGTCAGCTGAATGGTTTATACTTGACCATCACCAAGTATTAAAGTTGAAGTCAAAGTCAAAGTCAAATTACAACTGATAGTCAGTCTGTCTGTAAGTGTTGGTGTTGAGTCCTATTTGGGGCTCATGACAAGATATTTATTACTGTTTGACAGTTATGGTCTTGTTTTTTTTGGGGCACCCTCCTTTTTTTGTATGTGCTGCTGCTGGCCCTTGCCAGCGCAGCCTTTCTTGGATCTGTTTCCCTTGGGACTTGTGACCATATTTTACTGTCTCAGATTTGAGACTTCCCTTTTTGTCACCTCCTATGACTCGCAGGGTCACGGTGGAGTTACTCGACCCCACCTCCATATGAGGGCCACTGTTATGTAGTCTTGGGGCGGACCTAATAGAAACCACTGTTTCCAACAATCTCTTTTATTGTTGCATGTGTATCTGTTGCCATGGGAACGAAATGGTACATGTTTACTGGCTGTTACCATGCAATGGACAGTTTCTTCTGGCTTACAGTTGTCATGTCACAATATTATAAACGGATATTTTGATGTACTAACTTAAAAGGGCTGATAATGTAAAAAGGTAAAATCACTTAACTTCTCGATATGTGTGTGTTTCATGTGAGGGACCTGAGTTGCAGTACACTTGGTGTAGAAATGTGTTCTGATTTTGTAGTATCCAATAAGAGGAGTATGCAATACATATATATTTATTATTTTTTAATATGTATGTATTTCTCATTCTGTCCTCACTTGCAAGGATATGACATTTTGAATTGGCCCATGTTCTAAATTAATTTCAGTGAAAATAGGCCTATATGACCAACCTGAATTTAATGTCCAAATATGAACTACATAGCAATAATCCAACTTCACTGAACTGAATTCAACAACAGTGGACTAAACCCTATTTGACCACACTCCACCCTCTTGTCACGATACATTTTGGTCTCTTGTACTCACATATATGTATATGAAGATAAGTCTTCAGTTAAAGGCATATGTATTATAATCTCTGACAAGAAATAAGACAGTAATCAGCATTATATTATGTTTTTGCTTAACCTGGTTTTCAGTGTGGTCTACAAGTATCCTACTCCATGACAATAATGTTTTCTCTTTGGCTTTAGAACACTCTATACATACATTCTTCCACATCAGATTTCTCTGTGCTGAGTCTTTGGTTCCAGACACACCAACTACTCTGCTTCTGAACGTCAACACATTACATTTGTGATGGCCGCACAGAATACATGATCAATATTACCTGTCTGTCATCCATCAACTTTTCATGACTCATATAGTTGCTGCCCCCCTGAATTGTTTTCTTTTGAAAATTTCGCTGGTTTTCACACATTCTGACCATGAAATCGCCCATAGATCATTATCCTTTAGTGCATTTTATCAGTTGAATGACCATGTTCGGGCATTAGAAAGACAATGGAAGACATTAGATGAAAATGAGGAGAGGTTCATGGTGTTGAATTCTAAATTCTCAAAGTGGTGACTGAGAAATACT